TAACGTGTAGTTTTGTACGTTTGTTTCTCTTCAGAAACCGAATCTTCATGCGTGAAACTTTGTGTGCTATTTCCAGTGATCACAACTGACATATTCATGTTAGGAAAGAGTGCAAGAATTTTCCGCGCAAGATTCCTTTAAATCCTTCTTTGGACGCTCTCATGGCCATTCAGAATCGAGAATGCCTGCGCTTCAATATTGAAATTTGTGCAACAAATTATGTGTTTCAGTGGAAGTGCGAGTTCGGTGCAGTTCTGAAAATAGCCCAAAACTTTTCATTTTTTCAGAAGGGAGCTTCGACGATCGGTATCGGAGAGGAATGTCGGAAGTTTCTTCTGAAGAGCACGGTAACGTCAGGTTGCCACTTCCGTCAGATACATCTACAGTTTCTTCAACTGTTCATAAGGTTTGTCTCCACGTGGTTCTTAGTTCTATGATTTTCTTAATTTAGCATATCTACGAACTGAAGTTTTGGAGGTTTTCACCTCTGTTTGGTTCTTTTGGCGCACTATTTGACATGTTCGCTAGGCTGGTATGTTTGCGAGCGTGGCGTTCGGTGAAATGTATCACTCGCACGTCAACCTGGGTCTAGCGAGGGTTCTAGAGTTGTCATTTTGTTACTTCACGAATCATCTTTTAGCATTCATTTTGGGAAAAGACGTAATCGATGACATAAAAAGACGGAGCAGTATTCCATTCCAGCGCGCTTCCACACGAACTCCACATCGCCATCACCACGTCTTCACGAAGCAAGATGCGATCCGAGCCTTGCAACGAGGGAAACACGCACAGGAACGACTCCGTGCTGAACGCCTTGCCGAGAAAAAAGAAGCTGTGGATGCCATGCGGCGGAGGCGACAGGCAGTTCAAGAGGCAAATAGATTTAATATGGTGAGCTATTTTTGAAAGCACACTTTATCATATTTACTTCGTAAAGAATGTTGGCTCGTGATTTATTATAACTATACCAAATTCAAAGTTAAACCTGGGGAAACACCATGCGCTTGGCATCGTAACTGAGTTGGGTATTCTTATCAGATTCTCCACATAGGAAGTGGAATTTGAAAATGCCTTAGAAACTTAATCAGCATTAAGGGGATAAGACAGCGTAGGATGGGCACGAAGTAAGAGCGTAAAGGCTTAAGAAGAGCAACAGGCGCCACACTGGAGACGGACATACCTAACCTTGACTGGCATTTTGTGCAGTTTGTACTTTTGTAAAAAAAAGGTAGTAATCGAGGTCGCTTCAAGAAAAACTTTATCATCCAATTCGAATCAACAGAAAAAAATGGAATGAAATATGTTCAGGCAAATCCTACGAGTCGTTGAGATCAAGAAGGAAGAATGCTTGCTTACGTATGTACTTGACGTAATTTACAGTTTACTGATAAATGCTTACGATACCGTAGGAAAATGTATTTATCTAGATTTATCTGTAATTTAGATTACTGTTTATTTCCAAATCATAATTCATCTCAATATCACGTGTGGTGTAATTGATTTTCGAGCAAAACTAGTTTGACAGGTACCGACGCGCGCATATTGCGTCGCATATCGCGGCGCAGCAGGCTTCTGCTATTTTGCTTTGAATTCGTTGCAAGATGCCGTGAGTCCGTGATCACTTACCAGGAAAGGCATTCAACTTCCCATGGAACTTTGAGTTGAGACCCAGATATATCGATAGAGCTTCAAACGCTGATTACAAATATGGAAACTAAAACTGCAAAATGAACCTGCCAAGGAAGTTGTGAGCAGTCAAAGTTTGCTGAAGTAAAGCATTACATATGACCGTGCTGCTCCCGGGCTTTCAAAGTCGCCGTGGAGTAGTGGTAGTGCTCTCGGAATTTGATTCCACGGAAGAGAAACCTATGAAGATTCCGGGTGAGACGAGCGGCCTACACTACTTCGGCGGACCCATCTAAGAGTCTGAGACGCACGGTTTCATCAACGCTTTATTTAGCCCTTTGACTGCCTCCGTTTTATTGAGTTCATTATTCAGTTTGTAGTTCCATATTTTGGTACGACGGTTTGAAGATCTGTCGATATATGTGGGTCTCAATTCAAAGCTCCGTGGGAAGTTGAATGCTTTCCCTGGTTAGTGAATAATTAACACGAGACGACTATTGAGATGGATTATTGCTATGGATCCTGTCCTTTTTGTTATGCTAGAAATATAATTGTCCAAATATTGTGAATCAAAACGACAATACTGATAATTTGAACTCGATTACTAGTAGGAATCTAATTTTCACAGGTGTATCTGACTCGTCCTCCGTAGTTAATGCGACGTGGCGGTTTTTCGCAAACGTCGAATGTTATTTTGAGACACGAGATTTCATTCTCGTACAACAGCCACGGTAGGTAATCGTCCCTGAAATTGTATTGATTGATATAATGTGATCTCATTGTTACTAGGTAGGTACTAATTTTTTGAAAACAAAATGTAGTGCATGAATAATTTTGGCTTGTATAGAAATAAATATTATCGTACTGAAACGTTCCAATAAACGATTCAAAATCATTTCTTGTGGAGTGATTTTGACCGAAAATTGCTTTGGGTGGGGAAGGTTCCTTTTTGCTCACTGACTCACGCATGGTATTCTTGAGCGTTTTGCTCCCGTTCTTCCCTACCATTCTCCAAGGCGCTGAGTTCCTACGACTATTTCGCGGCTAGCTAACTGTGGCTAATCTCGAGCGCGCGTTCTTTCTCTATTCACGAGACGAGCTTCATATGATGAGGCTTTTGAAGTTAGTTCTCAAAAATAAGCCGTCATCTGCCCACAGAATCAAGTGGATGCCGAACGACCGTATTTACTGAGCCAATAATGCTCCCATTAGTTGTCCCTTCAAATACTGACCGAATTCAGGCTCTGAACGAGGCTTGCAAACTGATGAGAGCTTTAAATATTGAATCGTATAAATATTGAATGAGTTGTGTTATGAAGCGCACTGAATCTAAAAACTTACTTATGCCAGATATTCTTCCGGTATTCGATGTACCACTGACTGAATTTGTCGAATTGACCATTGTTCACGTCCCAAGTGCGACGTCGCTCTTCGAGCTCTCTGAACATGAAAAGGTGGGACTGAAATTCTGGTCATTTGATGCGCGAATATGACTTTTCTTATGAAAAACTACTGTCGACCTGACATTCTGAACAAGTTGGGTGCTGTGGCAGGAATTTTGAAACTTTTTCATTGCCCCATCAATCTTTCGGCACTATTTACCCTTTACTGCCCCACTCCTCAAGAACTGAGCCGGATTTTGATCGAAATTCGTCCATGACTGTGGATTTTGCTAGAAACTTGCCTTCAGGGGTAATTTGACCCGTAGATCACGAATATAATACCGGTTTAGAGCGAAAACGCTTGGCGCCCGCGCCACAGGCGCCGGCGCTATCACAACAGTTTTGCGCGGGCGCTCGTAGCGCAGGCTACAGGTTCACTCGTAACAAACTGATGTGATAATCATATTCTACGGGTCAAAATACCTCTGAGGACAACTTTCCAGCGAATTTGGGGATCCGAGATGTTCTGGCGCCTTTTGGCGCCGGCGCTTCTGACGCGAGCGCCAGGCGTTCTAGCGGTAAACAAATGTGATATTCGTGTTCTACGGGTCGAATTACCCCGAAGGCAAGTTTCTGGCCAAATTCACAGTCAATGACCAATTTCGATAAAAATCCGGCTCAGTTCTCGAGGAGTGGGGCAGTAAAGGGTAAATAGTGCCCTTTTCTTTTTTCTTCATATTTGCCCTACGTTCTGACTGGTCGACTGTAGGAGAGATTCACCTCTATCTATTATCGTCGTCAATTGTGGTGTATGATCTACACTCGACGCTTTTCTCGTTTAATTTTTTGCCCGGGAGTATATCTTAAACTCAGTCAACGGACAGAAGTTACAATTGTACATACGATTTTTATCGTTAATATGAGTATTTTGGATTATACGAACTAACTGACTTGGCTACGGTCTCCTCTATCTTGCGCTTCTTTCAATAATCGTTTCCTTTCCACAGAACCAGTAGCGTTGAACGCTAGACGAATTTTTGCGATTACTGAGCCCTGAAGTGATTTCATTTTAAAAATTGAGGTATATAAAAATAATCCGCCACTCTTGAAAGTTTTTAGGTCACTTACATAGCCCACTTTGCTGTAAGGTGGCCAGGGCACCTCTGTAGTCACCTTTGTCTCCTTGCAGGAAATCCATCTCACAGTCGCCGTCCGTATCGAAAGCGGCCCAATCATTGAAGCAGAACTCCTGCAAGGCGTTTTGAATTTCATAGTAGAGCTATTGATTAACTCTGTTCTGGGTGATTTATAACCAACCTTTCTGAATGTGTAAAGACCTGGCCGTTTCGGGCATCTGATTCCTCGCAGTTGGCTTGCGATCGAATCTGACATGTCTACGTGACCTTGATCGATCTCAGCCAAAGCACGGCATACGTCGCAATAATAGCTAAATGCATAAAGACAAACTACATTCACTTCTTGCGCCGAACCCAAGACTCTCAAGGCGCGGGTTTACGCGTATTGCACAGAAAATCAAGGAGAGATTCAATGATGGCACGCTGAAGAAGAAAAGACAACGAAAAGGCGGCCAAGAACCCCGAAAGACGGTCGCTTTGTTTGACTGATATTGCGCGCTGAGAGTGCTGCCCTCATCAGCGCCAAGCGGCTCTCTGTCTCTGTCTCTCCCTCTTTTACTGGCTGGCTGAATCAGATGGCGAAGGGTCACCTCCCCCTCGCGATGGGCGTACAGCGGCGCGGTTACAGCTCTGCTAGACTACTCGTTTGCTTGAAACAAACCTAGGCCCAATCGTAGGCTTATGCATAAACCAATGTGTGAGCGTAAGCCCAAGCCTAAGCTCATTCCCCAAGCATAACCTCAGGTTTTAATGATCGCGCAGCTCGATCGGCTCCGCCTAAAGGAGGAGTAACACGATACGTCTTGTCCCGAATAGGCCGCCCTTCTGCGGAAGTCGCTCGTACGAGTCGTGTTGGAAGTGTCTAAATGGACATTTTACCCTGCCATAAGCAGTCAACTGCAGTGCGCCAAATATGACATGGTCCAGGACCCAGCAGCAAGATCTCAATTCTCCTATTCGCATTTTCTTCCTTTATTTGATGTGTATTACTGTAACTGAGCCTTACCAATTATTGCCGTAACCGCCACAACCATTGTTTGAAGCGTTTTGACATTTCAGATTTGAGAAGTCTTTCACGTTCCACCATTGATACTCGGCCTTGGCGAAAAACGAGTTACCGATCGCTTCCGCTTCGTCTTTAACCTGAAATTTGCTAGTTTTTGCAACGCGAAAAGGTGCATGGGCGCTATCGCAAGATGGGGGGGGGGCATTGTAGTGACAACGCATTCAAAACAGAAAAAAAACGCCTTCTTCTTGTAGGGAATGCATCCGAGCCCCTAGTGGAGAATTAGAGAATCCAGGGTGCGTGTGCAATTTTCTTTTCCTCCAAAGTTCCTGCACCTCCTAGGCTTAATTCACAAAAATGCCCCGGATCTTGCGATAGCGCCGGTGAATGTTTTCGGGTTGGTGCTGGGTTTTAGTTCCAGGAAAAGAGAGCACAACGGGGAAGCGCAAAAGTAAAAAGTGAACACCAATAAGGTTTAGAATGTAGAACACCCAAAGAAATTATTGTTGAAATATTCAGGGCAAAAGCCGCGCTGGACGTATGGATGGGACCATTCTGTACCAGCATCAGGTAGCCCCATACACACGTTTAGCGCGACCTTTGTCTCTGAAAACTCAGGAAATCTGCAGTACCCGTAAATTCTTGATCTCAAGGGTGAAACAGCCGGGAAGTCGGACGACATCTGGTTTGATACGGATCTGTCCAGGATTGATCTCAAGTACTCGTTTCGCACCAGGACGAGCTGAAATAGGCAATTGTTGGTTGTAAGTGCAACTGATATGTTAATTACGCGTGCGGATGCGACGCGGCTGTGAAATTTCGCAATATCGTAGAAAATAAAATAAAAATAAAGCAAGGGACTCCCCAAACTGGGTGCCGGGAGCTGGAAGCTGATATTCACGTGATGTGCTAGACCGATGAGTGAGGAATTCTCAAC